TTGTTTGCCATTGAAAAAGCCCTGTTTGAACCCCCATAACATGTCTGAGGGCTGAAGCTGCCAAGGCTAAAAGTAAAGAGTCCAAGAACAGATAGGACCATTATCAGAACATGGTCAGGTGCCCTCCATACCTGGCTGAAAAACAAGCAAGAACTCTTACTCTGTAAGAGTGGGAGAAGGTGATGTAAGATTGAAAGCCTGGAATTACATAGCAGACTTGATTGCTAGACTGCTGTAGCTGCTTTTCATTATTAGGGCTTCCTGAATCTGCAGTAAAAGCAACTTATACATCTGAACCTTGTCCTTGACTAATCCATGCTAGATCCTTAATGATGGTTTACATTTTCAACAAGATGTAATGCTATGACCCTAATGAAGCTTTGACCCCATGAGTCATACTAACATGTAGGGCCACAAACAGAATCTCCCTGATCAGTCTCAGTACCCAGGTCAACTGTAACTGAAGTGAGATTGATAGTTTTTTTCCCCACTGACACAACTGATTCAAATGAATGGGAGTAGGAATGTGATATATGTTATTACTGCTATTATATTGTTCTTTGGGCAAAAGATAATATCAAAACATCACCAATTTACTGAAGATATGTAGATATCTACACCAATCTTAACAGTTGCAAAATTAAAATATTTGCAAAGTCTTAATGAAAGTATCATCACATTGAAATGATTTTGTTCATATCTGGCAAAGCAAAGGGCATCTACAGGGTAGTCTGCTTGAGTCATTTTCTAAAATAAACAAATCTATAAACAAACAAACAAACAAACAAATAAATGCATTTCACACTGTCTGGTAGCTACGGTGCTTCTAATTCAATTTCAAGAACTCTTCCTTATAATAACTTTAAAGAATTGTAACTAATAAATCTACCACATACTTTATTATTCTAGGTTGGTTTTCACACATCCTCCTAATTCATCGTATGGTTTATTTTTGTTTCAATACAAGGTGTGATGTTGCATTTTAACATTACACATAAACCAAGACATTATGACTTTTTAAATAAACCATTATTTAAAAAAAACAAAAAAAACCCCACTTGATTGGATGATGGAGGTAGAAGTGGAAGGAAAGAAAGAAAAAAACCTCTCATTTCCATTCACAAGCAGTGTGATGGTATGTGGCAAGGACCTTGGGAGATAGGAGGAAGACCTGCAGCCAGGGCAACAGTCTGATAAGAGGCAGTTCAGTCTGCAGGTGGGGGAAAAGCATGGGAAGCATTCCAGAAGGGACCCTCCTTAGTTTTCTGGGGACTAAATAGAGAGGAAGGGAGAAATACTTTCAGTCTTGCAACATTCTGTTTAATGTAACCTTACAGTAAATAGTGCTGATGCTCTTGGTTGTGCATCTTGTCTGAACTACCTCAAAGGGCTAACATCCAGATAAAGAGAACTGTGACAGAGGAAGGAGATGGACAGTGCTTGAAGATGAGGGAAAAGATGGCTTTGAATTATACAGGAATAGGCTCTGAATGGCAATTGGATGGCAATTGGAGAAGCATCTGGAAAGTCCAGAGCTTGGAGAACTCATCATTCATTGATGCTACTGTTATTGCTGCTACTGTTGGTATACACCCCACCTTTCTTCTAGGACAACTTGCAACTCAGGAACCACATTTGGTCCACCGGGCAGTCAAGTGTAACCCCCTTTTCCTCCCAGTTTCTATTGTCCTCCACCCATAACTACCATCCCCAATGCTGCCTGTTTCATCCTAGTGCCTTCTGTATATGAGGTGTGTGTGTGTGTGTGTGTGTGTGTGCACGCACACACACGCATACATTAAAAATGGGCCTTTGTTTTGTTCATGTACTTCTTAATTTATTTTAAACCTGGGACTCAAACTGAAATGCAAGGGGGTGGAGATTCCTGTAAGTGTATGTATTAATGTCACTAAATAAACATAATTTATTTTTTGTTCCACATCTGGTTTTAAAATCTTTTTAGGGGATTTTTCTTCTGCACTGCTGCCTCTAATGTGACATTTGAAGGCAGGTGCAGCCCTCAGACCAGTGATGATTGTGCTGTCCAGATTTGGGATCTCAATGTGGCATACACAATTCATGGTGACTTCCTCTTATCTAGCCCCATAAGTAAATCATTCAAAGTTACAGGGAGAGATAGTTATCCAAACAGCTTCATGACTGAATGGAAATTTGAACCTGAGTCTCCTTGTTCTCTGTTCAACAGTAATATCCTAACACTATTCTGCTTCTTTATGAAGTCGGCTTTCTATCCCTGACAATTTCTTGTGTGACTCTGGAGAACTTGAATATTTTGTATATTCTTAAACTATTTCATAGTAGAAAAAGTGAACCCTGATGTTCATTTTATGTAAGTTCTATCTGAGGATCAGCTTTAAATTTCTAATGGGAAACACTTGGAAGCAGGTTAAGCTGAGCTGTTGTTGGGCTCAAGGCCATATGGAAAGAAAAACTACTTCTCCATATTCCTACCCATTATATCAGTATAGCAAAAAGAAAGCACTTTGCAATCTTTAATGAGCTAAAGCAGATGACACAGATCAGCTATTTTTCCAGGTGGTGAATTCCAACATAATAATTCTTTCTAATTTCCAGTGGAGGAGGATCTGCAAATCTAATTTGATTTTATATCCTGTAGTTATATATTTGAATTGGTTTATATATGCTGATTTTGATATATTTTGCCCAGTGTTTATGAGGAACACAGACAAGTAAGGCGGGGGAGACTCAGGTGCCCCATGAAAATCAAAAGTATTACTTTTTATCAGTGTATTATATTATCTGTATCAGAGCTGTCCATTGCTATTTTCTATTAACCAATGTCACTCAATCATTCTTGGCCCAGCCTTTCCACTTACCAGTTTATCAAGTTCTGTTATGCAGTCTTTTTGGCTTTGGAACTAAGGAGTAGCCGTACATACTATGTTGAAGCAATTATCTCTTCCAATTAATCTCCCATTTAAGAGAGGTTGGAATGGAGAGTATTCTTCTGCTGGAATATGGAATGCAAGCAAAATGTTTCTGCTGGGTGGGTAGATGGTAGCTGACTCCAGCAGTTCCCATTGCCCACACAAGGAATCTCTTATTATCACTATGTCACAATGTATTAACTTTCTCAGATGACTTTTGGATAAAAAATATGGTTACCAGAATTCTTTGCCATGGCCTGTCATATAGAACTAGCTGTGGTAGCAAAATACCAAAGAAGGTGGGAGGAACTATTATTTTCTTCTTTGGGCCTTCTCATACCCTCCCCTTCTGAGAATGTTGGTTCATGCCTCCTACAAGAGCTCTTCTTGAAAAGGATCAGGTGGAAATGTGCAATGGCACAGTATTTAAAGAAAACAAAAATGCTACAACAAGACTTTTAGTTAAAATCTTCCAGCTTTACTGAAAATCATTCTGGCAGTAGCACATATCTCTACCTTTTAGTCTAATTATTCTAGCAAATAGCTCCAAAGTAAAAAAATCCAGCCAAATGTCCACCTCCCCATTTTGTTGGCAACCCAGGATGAACACTATGAAGAGAAAGAACTATAATTGTTTTAAGCATATGAACTAAGGGAAGGAACACAATTTTTAAAATTAAGCCTGTTTCTGAGCTGAAAATTATCTGGAGAAGCATTTTTACTTGCATTTCTGGGCAAAAAGGTTTCGGCAAAGTAAGTTTTTCATGGCTACTGCCACAGACTGATTTATTCTGTATGTTACTGCTAGTCCACAAGTTGTGTATTTCTCTATGCTACTTACATGACTACACCAATATATGCTTCCCCCCTCCACACAAATAATATTTTTCTTTATTTAACTTTCTCTAATATTTGTTGAATATCTTTTAACCAAAAAAGATGTATCTATGAATGATGGAGGTTCAGCTGAAAAATTGCCCTTTACAGGGTTATTTTCAACCCCAACTTTTAGAATTAAATTTATCTTTCATTGCTATATAGACACAGATACATCAAAGAAGTTTACCTAGACTCTGTTTTAAACCATCTGCAGGATGTAGTTTAACATGCATGGTAATAAGTCAATTTCTATCTTTCCTTTCCTTTCCTTTCCTTTCCTTTCCTTTCCTTTCCTTTCCTTTCCTTTCCTTTCCTTTCCTTTCCTTTCCTTTCCTTTCCTTTCCTTTCCTTTCCTT